TGTGTGTGTGTGTGTGCTAGGTGCTAAGTCAATGTTTGCTAAATGAATGAAATCCGGGAAATTATCACCTTCCCCTGCCCCAGCTTGTCTCCTACAATCTCCATCTCTTCTTGGCCTATTATTAGAGCGCAACAGGATCTCTCTCCCCATCCTTCTCTTAACACTGAGGATTCCTGTCTTAGCTCCTTCCCTTTCAAGGCACAGCTCATAAGACATCCCTGCGGGAATCAGGAGATCCGTATCTGCATCCCAGCTCTGCTGTTTGGGAGCTGTCAAGACCAGTGTACAGTTTTTGCAGTAATCCCGGTGTGAGGTGACAAGGGCATAGCCTAAGGTGGTGACCATGGGAATGGAAAGGGGAATCATATGGAAGATATTTTGAAGGAAGAATCAACTGGGTTTGGTGACTGATTGGAAGAGGAGAAGGAAGGCTGATGGGCTTTCCTGGAAGGGGGCTTCATGAGTCAAAGAAGACAAACCTTGGCCATCAGACCCCAGAATCTGGGAGAATGATTCCACCACCATTTTCAGAAACATGAATTTCAGGAAAGAGAACCCATCTGGGGGAAGAAATGAGTTTGGTCTTGGGGATTGTGGCTTTTTTGGAGTTTAATTGGCTCAAATTCTGATGCTTCCACCACTTGTGTTGGCTTTGTAGAAAGAAATCATATAAAATTATAGGACCTGAACCTTAGAGCTGGGACCTAAGGAGCCATCTAATTCAAGCCACTTTTTTTACAGACGAGGAAACTGAGGCTCATGGAAGCTAAGTGACTAGCCTAATATCATGTGGGTAGTAAGTGGGATGGCTGGGATTTGAACCCATCTTCTCTGACTCTAAAACCAGTGTTCTTCATTGGACCACACCTTTTTCATTGGTAGATTGCCCTGAAAGCTGAAGTAATTACCTCAGTAATTCAAAAACAAGCAAACAAACCCACTCTCTATGTTACTTGGATAAATTTGGGTAAACGTTGCGGTGCTGTGGTCTCAACTACCTTGACAGTTGCGTCCATTTTCTTCATCACTCAGTTTCATGAAAAGAAGACTTGTGATATAATTTTCATACAAGGCGTACAATCTTGATGCAATGGCTAAATGTTGGAATCTTATTTTATTTGGGTCCAACACATTCTTTGGGTGATCAAACACCTTATTTGCTGGAAAATGCCCATTAGCTCAAAGTCAGTCTCAGTTCATGACAAGGAAGCTACCCTGGGCCTTCCAGCCTCACTGCAGATGCCACATACTATAGTGACAGGAAGGAATACAAGGAACAAAATAATTCTTACTTGTTGACTGTGGGAAATGCTGATGGGTGTGGGAGATCCATCCTCGGGCCAAGGGTTCGGCCTCGGTGACGTTCAGCAGGTACTGGCTTTTCTACGTGGGGAAAGTTCGCAGTTCAGGGTTATAAGAAAACGCAATTTTCTCTGCCAAACAACCAAACCAAGTGGGAAGAACTGATCTGCGACCAGCTTTGCCTGTTCTTAGTCTCACTGTGTTCTGCGTGTCTGTCCTATCTGCGCTCTCCAACTCCCCGGTGACTTGGAGAATGAGGCTTCCTGTCCATTGGCTGAGGCTCCGTGTCAGGTCCTTGCATGGACTATGCTCAGACTCCTTTGTAACTAGAGATCTGGGGTCCCTGCCTGACTGGTGTAATCTTGCCTGCACCAGTGTGAGAAAGAGGACCTTCTTGACAGCGGGGCCTGCACTGCATCACGGAGCCGAAACGAGGACCCTTCTGCTTCCCTAATTCTCCCTTAGCACAAGTCCCTAAAACGCTAGAATCAGCGCAGCATGTATTTCACATGAAAGAATGGGTGGAAGTTCCAGGGAGGGTGATTTTAGCTCAATATAAGAAAGAACTCTGTAACGATGAGAACTGTCCAAAAGTGGACCGAGGGGGCAACTGGAGTCTCAGCTCAGCTGGTTTGGGCAAATTACCAAACCCTTCTGGGCCTCAGTTTGACCGTCAGTAAAAAAGGGGTGAGGGGAGGAAGGTCATGTTGGACTACACGGTCTCTGAGTTCCGTTCTTACTCTAGTTTCTGCTGTTTCTAGTGGTATCCAAGCAGAAGAAGCTTCCCATTTCATAGGATCACAGATTTGGAGCTGAAGGGGACATTAGAGGACAATTAGTCCAACTCCCACATCTAATTTTACGGATGAGGAAACTGAGGGTCAGAGGGTCACATAGCAAGGAAATAACAGCAGAGTTACAGTTTGAACTTGGGCCCTCTGACTATAAAGTCAGTGCCCTTTCCACTGTGCTCCTATGCCTTTAGGTAGAGGCTGAATGAGACAGCTTTCTAAGGTCCCTTCAAATTCTGAGACTAGGTGAGTCCATTGTTCCTCCTGTCTTGGTGCTGCATGGATCCTAGTATTTTAACCATGCGCATGGGGGAGCTCCAGAGGGGAGATTGTAGTTGAGGTCTTCACTAGGCTCCAGGCTGCTCCTGTGTTTTTTGCTTAGCAAGATGGAAAGGGAACAAGGGAAGAACCAAAAGCTAAAAACATTGAAAGACAGGCGGAGAAAGGGAGAACCATGGAGAGAGATACACAGAAATGGGGTGATCAAAAAAGGTACAGAAAAAAGGAGGAAACCAGGAGATAGCCAGTGAGAAACATATGCACGGAGACAGGAAAAAGAGGACAATTTATGCAGGAGCTATGACCTAGAGTTAGAAAGTGCCCATTTGCTAATAGCCTCTATTGAATTCAGAGATTTGTTTTAGGGCCATTTTGAAAGATGGGTCATCTTAGCAAGGGAAGTGTAAAAAGTTAGCTGTGGCTTGTGGCAAACACAATAACTAAAATAGTGGAAGTGAAGAAAGGAAGGAAGGAAGGTAAGAAGTGAGATAGGCTTTGAAAGCAATGAGGGGGTTCTTAATCTTTGTGTCATGGACCCCTTTGGCAGTCTGGTGAAGCCTAGGGACCCCTTCTTAGAATCATGTTTTTAAATAATTGAAGGAAATGTTAAATTTCAGTTAGAGGTTAGTGAAAATAAAGAAGTGATTTTTTTTTTTTGCCATCCAAGTTCAGGGACCCCCTGAAATCTATCCATGGACTCCAGATTAAGAACTCTTCTCTAAATTCTTGGAAAGGCAAAAGAATGAGCATTGTTTGAACTCAGATTTGTTTATTTGGCTCACTTCAAATCCTAGTTTTGAATAAGTAATTCTTCACTTTTGAATAGGCTTTATCTGATTATTTCAACTCCTCTGAGCCTCAGTTTCCTATCTATAAAATGCAGGGTTTAGACCTGAGGACCACTGAGTCCTCTTCTGCTCTATCTTCACTTGGAAATCAGCATGGCTCTCTGTAAGGGGACAGATTATGCTGTGAGGGTTTGGGACATAGTCAAGGCACCTGATAATGAGAAGTGTTTGTTGTTACAATCTAGTTACTCACTGCTGTTTGCAGAAGGTGCTTTATTTTGGTTTAAGAAATGAATACCCCGTTTACAATAATTACTTACAAAGTAATTTCTAGAGTGCACCTCCCCAACCCTCCCCCTACCCCCAGCCCCACCAAACAAAACAAAACAAGCCAAAAACAACAACAACAACAACAACAACAACAACAACAAAGCTTTATGTACCTTTACCTTCATGACCACTCAAGGTGTTCGCTGGAGGGAGACCTGGGGCCTGTAAAAACAAAATAAGGCCGTGCAACTTGACAGAATTTGAAAATATACAGCTTATAATGCAGTGTGAAATCCAGGCAATGTTACTAAAATAGATATTTTAATGGAGCATACCTCCCTGTGTATATTGACATACAATCAATCTTGTGCAAAAATACTATTTTTAAGATTGTAAAAATACTCACTAATTTCACTAACTATAAGTGCACTTATAGTTAGTTATTTTATATATTCATATACATATATATATACATATAAAATACCAACTAGCATAAATTTAAAACTAGAATATAGCTTTTCAGTGGCAAGGGCAATAACTAATATGTCTTTATTTATGGCAATTCTAACAGTGCTTTGCACTCAAGGGTGGGGGAGGGCAGTGAATGCTGGTAACTGACAGCTAAAAACAAATCTATGATGAAAATCATTGGCAGTTAGTCTAAATGATAGGCTAGGGTCCTGTGGGAGGAGTGGTTATGTAAGGGCTTCACAAATCCAGAAATAAGCAAAGATCATTTCTGTATGTTGAATCAATAATAATAATATTTCTTAGTATTTATATAGTTTGTTAAGATTTGCAAACTACTCCACATTTGTCACCTTACTTAATGCTTACGTCAACCCTATGAGGTAGGTGCTATTACTTATCCCCATTTCACAGATGAAAAAACTGAGACTGAGGGCGAGTAAGTGACTTGACCAGAGTCACATAGCTAGGAAGTGTCTGAGGTAGGAGTTTAACTCCAGTCTTCCTGATTCCAAATCTAACACTCTATCTACTGAACCAGATAGCTGCCTACTATGTCTCACATTTACATGTATTACTATTTTTCAAATATATAGAGATACTATAGTGATTAGTTAAATCCAAATGCATTTAAAAGCATTAGTGAGAGGCAAAGGGAGGGGACAGGCAGGATGGAAAAATTGTCTCACATAAGCAGAATGCTTAAATAGGAGTCTAAAAACAAGGAGGAAGGGGTGGGGAGAGCAACTGACACTTGAAACTCATGCTCATCTGACGCTTCAGAGGAAGGAAGAACCCATACATTTGGGTACAGAAATACATTTCATTCAACAGGGAAACAGAAAGAAAAGGGGAAAAGGAAAAGGGAGGAACAAGAGGGAAGGTAGATTAAGCAAGGGATTGGTCCTAAACAAAACAAACTATAACCAAGGATTACAAAAATATTTATAGCAGCTCTTTTTGTAATGTCAAAGAATTATCAATTGGGGAATGGCTGAACAAGTAGTAGTATATAAATATCACTGAATACTATTGTGCTGTAAGAAATGATGAAGACGATGGTATAAGAAACAAACACCTGGGAAGACTTGTATGAACTGATACAGTGTGATGTGTGCAGAACCAGGAAAACAATTTATATAATAACAACAATGTTGTAAAGACAATATTATAAATAACTTTAAAAGATTTAGTAACTCTGATCAATGCAATTACCAAGCACAAATTGAGAGGGTTTATGATAGCATACGCTAGATATGTTATAGATAGACAGATAGATGGATATCACCTCTCATGATAGAGAGGTGATAGATTCAGAGTGCAAATTGAGACTTTTTTTCTTGGACATGGCCAATGAGGGAATTTATTTTGCTTAACTATACATATTTATAACAGGGATTTTGTTTTCTTTTATCGCTGAGGGTGGGGCAGGGGAGAAATGAAAGGAACAAAAGGTGAATTTTCATTGATCAAGAATTAATAAAATTTAAAGCATTACTGAATTTATCATAGCTTTTACTTATATATTATTCTTAGTCAATGGCTGCTTATAATACATACACTATCACGCGAATGTTCTTAAAAATTTAGATGTTAAAAGGGCTCCTCATTTTTGTAAATGTCGAGATGATAGGTCCAGTGGCTATAAACCATATTGGCTATCAGAGTATTCCTTCCCAGATCTCCCCTGAATCTGTATTTAGGTCTCATGTCTGTGTCATATCTTTTCTTAGAGATGGCAACCAAACCTTCTAGGTAATTTGGAAGGAGTAAGCCAAGGTGGGCATTAGTTTATTAACATATGGCCATGATTCATTGTTGCTTAGGTAGGATCCTAGTTTTTTTTCATGCCCAGGTAATGTCAGCTTTTCCACCCTGTGGAATTAGCTCCATAATTAGTTGATAGGGAATTTATACCCCAGCACATGGAAAATAATTTCTGTGAAAGAAGCAGTCTCTTTGGCAAGTCTGTTCTAGAGAGTAGAGATATTTACTAAGTCTGCCATGGTTTTATACTCATCATCAAGGTTTCCACTATAATTGTTCTCTCCTTAGAAGGTGTAACTTCAACTAGCATTTTTACCATTGCTAAGTATGTCCACCTTAAGGAAGGCTCCCTATGTTTTTGCTTTTATTTGGAAATTACTTCAACTTTTAACCAGGGTCATTATATAGTGGGTTACATTCCTAGAATTTTGAAACAAAGTCAGAAATAGGCCCTACAGTTGAAGCTAAGGAGAATTTAAAAAAAAAAAAGGATGAGATTAGTCAACTACCCAAGTATTCTTCCTACCTCTTCCCACCTTAGAAGTCATATGTTGATGAAATCAAGGTGTCTCCTGAAACTCTCTCAAGTGGAAGTTATCTTTCTGAATTTCAAAGGTAAGTCATGATCTAGCCAAATGTCCATTGATACTATTTGAGATAATGTCAAAATCTAAGGGGTCTGCATTGAGTCTAGAAAAAGAAGACTCAAGAGTGAGAGATGGCCAGTGTTTGTCTAGCACACATCTAGCACTCGATCCTCTGATTTCACTAATTGGTACCAGTTAGTAAACTGGTAAACATAAATCACTAACCCTAGAGTTAAGAAGGCCATTAATCTAGCTATCATGGTATGATGGAAATGTCTCTTGAGCGCATCTGATTCCCTTTGTTGTGATCCTATGCTTACCAGTAAATTTTCTGACCTATAATTTGGTCTCTGGACTGGACCTACTAGAAAAAGTGTGCCACGCAAAAGGGTAGCATCAACATAGCTAACATTACTATAAATTAACAAATTGACATTCTAGTTTGCAAATTAGTGTCTCTTTCCAGACTATTGGCACACACCTGGAATCCCAGCTACCAGGGAGGCTGAGCCTGGTGGATGACCTTGAGCTCAGTAGTTCTGAGTTGGAGTGGGCTATTGATCTGAACTAAGTTTGAACTAATTATCTGAACTAAGTCTGAACTAAGTTTGACATCAATATAGTGAGGTTCTGGGAGCAGGGGGCCACCAGGTTGTCTAAAGGGAGGTGAATGAATCCAGGTTAGAAACAGAACAGGTTAAGCAAAGCTTCTGTGCCAATCAGTAGTGGTAATGAATCCACTAGTAGCCCCTGTATTTCCAGCATGGGCAAGAAAGAGAGACCCAGTCTTACAGAAAACAACAAATCAATGTCTCTTGAATTTGATCAGGGTGGATCCATCCCTCAGAGTTTGATCGCCTCTGAGGGAGCTGATAAAATAAAACTCTTGGGCACTAGATTTGACCAGAGAAGATTTCACCAAGACATGACCAGTAAGAATGAGCCTACCTGAATTGCCAGCTGGACACCCTTCTGGCCATCTCTCTTTTAACTTTAATGTTAAGTAACAACACCCGTAGATGTTAACAGAAAAGATAATACCATCTTAAATCAAAACCACAAATTCAAAATCAACTTACTGTTTTCAGCTGAGTTGCTGTTTTCTTTCTGGGGAATAAAAAGAAATCAGTAATAGACAAAGCTCTTGTGAAATAACTCATGTAAATTTAAACCAGATCAGTTGAAGCAAATGCCCTGGAGAGCTGTCTCTTTTGGATCACATAAGGGGGAGTTATGCTCTGCTGATTTGTGGAGAATTAAAGGAGAAGTGGAGTTAAATAACTTAGTGGAATAGGAAACGAGTTGAAGCTTCGGGAAAATGCCTGGCAGGAGAATATTAACTATTCCCTGGCCAGGGTAGCATCTTTATGGTGTATAAAGACCCTTGACACACATACTATCTCATTAGGACCTCACAACACTCCTATGAAGTAGCAGCACCAAGATGATTATCTCCAAGTTAACAGTTGTAGGAACCAAGACACCGAAAAGTGCCGTGACTAGTCCAAAGTCTCACTGCTTGTAAGTGGTAGAACCAGGAATCAAGCTCTCCTATGTTCTATGATAAGAGAGGCATTATGTACACATTATGTACACACAGTGCACACAGGCACACAGTACAAAGAACCTTGGTTCTGCATCAGAAGATTTGGCTCTGCTGCTTAGTGAGTGGATAGTAAAAGGCCCTGAGCAAGTCACTGCACATCTGAGTCTCACTTTCCTCATCCATAAAATAGGAATAATATGTCTTATATTATTTCCCTCATAGGACTGTGCTGAAGATTAAATGAGATAACAATGCACGTGAAAGCTATGAGCTGATCAACTATACTGTTAAAATAATAATGATAATTATAATAATAGTAGCTTAAATATCCAGCAATGATAATGGTTCATATTTCTATCATACTTTAAAGGTTTACAGTGTATTTCACTTAATGTTATCTCATTTAATCCTCATAATAGTCCTATTAAATACATGTGATCACTCTTTTCTTTTGAGGAAAGCACTAAGCACAATGCCTGGCTTACAGTAAGTGCTTAATAAATGCTGGTTGACTTGCCTTGTTGACTTAAAGATGGGGAAGTTAAACATATAATAAGTGCTTAATAAGGGGTTGCTGATTTGCAGATGAGGAAACTGAGGCTCAGAAAGGTTGAGTGGCTTGCCTATGATCACATAGTAAGTGACTGAGGTAGGATATGAACTCGGGTCTCCCTGAACCCATGTCCAGAGTGCTATCTAATATGCCACGTTATCTCTTTTGGACTAAAAGAATCCTTATTTTTTTTTAAGAATCCTTATTTTTTAAAGGATGTTTGTTTACGCACCATTTATTACTTAAAACAGGGGTTGAGCCTCTAAGCAAAAGATTAGATGCCACTGAAGATTGAAATGTCACCAGAAATGCTGACACAGCATAACAGAGAAATAATGTAAATTTCCAAAGAAACATGATTTAATTTCCCCCTGACTTTTTACATAAGATGGGGTGCACCTGTGGTATTTTGGGTCACTATGTCCTGGGGAGGGCAGCTGGTGGGTCTTCCTTGGTGGTGGTTCTAAGCTCACTGAGCAATCTTTAGATGTCTAATTTAGGCTCCTGAGGAAGCTTCCCCAGAGGATAGGCCCTGGACAAATGACCGGCATCTCTTACCTGGCTAGACATAGATCATATATCATATATAATATTCTCTGTCTCTTGACTGTTGGGATTATCACCTCTACTTTACAAAAAGACCTGTGAGTTCATTGATGCGAGACAGTTGGCATGCATATATTCCCTAGGGCCTGCTTCCCTCCTGGTCAGTCAATCACACAATAGACATTAATTTAGCTCTTACTGTATGCCAGGCACTGTGCTAGGCTGAATTCCCGAGGCTGAGGTGCTAAGAATCCAGACTCCCCTGAAAAGGCTTCAATGCAATGTAGTGAGTAATAGAAGCCCAGCCTCCAGAGCCCATTGGCCTTTCTCTGTCCTGGCCATCTCCCTCTTACCTTGGACAAGAAGCAAAGCCAGAAGAGCCTCCTTTTGTTTATCTGTCTAAATTATCTACTAGAGAGAATGTCTATTCTCTTTCATGGAGGCTGCTGCTGTGGCCCTCTGAGGGAAGATAATCAGCGTCAGCATTCTAAGTGGGACTCCTTTTTGCGGCAGGTACTTACATGGCCCTTGGGAGAGGTGATGGGGCTTGAATTGATGAAGGAGGCTTGGATTCCCAAGTTGCAGCATTGTTGCTGTCATCTGAGCACAGTGGACATAAAAACAGTCAGCCCTAAATCTTCAGGACTTTCACAGTGAAATAAAATCACCTTTTCAGCCAGGCAAGAAAGACACATTCACTCTTTTGTTGCTTTTTAAGAGTAATGGTTCACCATCATCCCAATCATAAAAGCTAACACTGATATAGCACTTGCAAAGGGTTTTACTGATGTGATCTCATGTAATAATAATAACAATAATGATAGCAAACATAGCACCTACTATGTGCCAGGTACTGTACTGAACATTTTACAAATATTATTTCATTTGATTCTCACAACTCTGAGTAGGTGCACCTCATGTCTTTGGCTGTGGAGCTTGGGCTTGTCTACCAGGATGTGGATAGAAAACATGGGGTAGAGTCATTCTCTAACTGATAAATGATCAAAAGATATGATCAGTTTTCAGATGAAGTAATCAAAGCTATCTACAGTCATATGAAAAATACTCCAATTCAGTATTGATTGGAGAAATGCAAATTAAAACAGTTCTGAGGTATTACCTCATACCTATTAGATTGGCTGATAGGACAGAAAAGGTAAATGACAAATGTTGGAAGGGATGTGGGAAAAATGAGACATTAATTCACTGTTGGTGGAGTTGGGAACTGATTCAACCATTCTGTAGAGCAATTTGGAACCCAAAGGGCTATAAAACCATGCACATCCTTTGACCTAGCAATACCACTACTGGGTCTGTATCCCAAAAGAGATAAAAAACAAAAAGGAAAAGGAACTATGTGCACAAAAATATTTATAGCAGCTCCTTTCTGGGGGCAAAGAATTAGAAATTGAGGGGATGCCCATCAATTGGGGAATGGCTGAACAAATTATGCTGTGTGATTGTGATGGAATACTAATATGCTATAAAAAATGATGAACAGGATACTCTCAGAAAAACCTGGGAAGATTTGCATGGGCTGATGCAAAGTAAATTGTGCTGTGCACAAAGTAACAGCAATACCGTAAGATGATCAGCTGTGAATGACTTAGTTATTCTCAGGAGTACAACGATCCGAGACAACTCTGAAGGACTTAGGATGAAAAATGCTATCCATCCCCAGAGAAAGAACTGATGGTGTCTGAATACAGATTGAAGCATTTTTTTTTTTACCTTCTTCATTTTTATTGAGGTTTTTTTTGTCTATGTTTTCATTCAAACATGGCTATTGTGGATATGTTTTGTATGACCACACCTGTATGACCTATATTGATCTTCTCAACGATCGGGGATAGGGAAGGAGGGAGAGAATTTGGAACTCAAAGTTTTAAAAATGAAGGTTAAAAATTGTTTTTACGTATAAATGGGGAAAAATAAAATACAAAAAAAGAAAAAGAAAATACAGTGTACATAGAGATGGGAAGAGCCCTCCCAGGAGCCTCTCTGACAAATGGGCTTAGCTGGCTGGAGGTGAGAAGAGAGGGAGGAGTCTCTGATGAGTCAAGATTCATCAGAGTAGGAAGTCAGAGTAGGAATCCAGATGTGGATCCTGCTAGGAGTTTTCTAGAAATGTTTTTCATGGGTTCATCTGTTTGGGGGTAAAAAGAAATTCACTAAGGGAAAACAGAAGGACCTAGAACCAGAACCCCATAGCCTCATGTCACCCTAGGTCACTCTCCACCGTTTCTGCTACAACCTCTTCAGTTGTCATGAGATGCTGGGGTTGCCACATGTGAGACTGATGGCAAACACGGAAAGATTTTCAGGACAGTGTAGAGAGGACTGAGCTTTAGGGCAGAAGGAAGAATCCCTGACCTAGTCACTTTCTGGGATAGTAATGGAAGTTGGGAAGAGGTAAGTGGAATAGATTCTCGGTCCTGATCACTTTGTGATATAATGATAGAGGAATCCTGGTCTTAGTGTGTGAGAAAGAATTATGGGGGTGCTAAATCCTGGAAAAGAGAAGGCTAGGGGTAGGGAGGGCACAGCTATCTTAAAGTATTTACAGCTGCAAAGTCAAAGAGGGTTTAGACATTCTGTTTTGCAGGACTAGGCGCAGTGGGGAGAAGAAAGGGAGAGTTGCAAAGAAACAAATTTAGACTTGCTTTCCAGCAGTATTTAACTATCAGAGCTCTCGAAAAGTGCAGTGGGTTTCTTTAGGAGGTAGCGGGTTCCACCTGAGGAAGTGGAAGGTTCTGCCTCCTTGGAGGTCTTCCAGCAGAACCTAGATGACCACTTGTCATCTATATTGTGATGGGGATTCTAATTCTGTTATAGCTTAGGCTAGATGGCCACCGGCGTCTCTTCTAACTCAGAAATTCTGTGATTCTATGAATCTTGTTACTCATCCCTCCCTGGGACGATGATGGGGACTTGAGACCTCACAAGATAGGACATGGTAGTTTTATGGTGACAATTGGAAAATAAGGAAAGTAGACAAGAAATGGGAGGGAGGATGTGCTCCAAAGCCTGCTCAGTGACCAAGGTGGATGAAAGCCAGGCTTTCATAATGGAAAGATGACCACAGAGCATCCATGCTTATTTTGAGGAGAGAGGGAAGACAGGACTGGGCTTGGGTTATAAGGGAGGAATTTGGGATAGGGGAGATCAAGGGAGGAGAAGGGAAGTGATGAGGAAGAGAAATTAAGATTTCCTTTACTTAAAATACTCAAAACTTGACAACAGGGTTTGTGGTATCAGGGGCTACTCACAGGTTTTGATGGGTGGTTTTTGGTATGGGGAAAAAGGTGGTGTCTGAAAAAAGAAAAAAAAGAAAAGTGACCATAAGCTGAGAATTTTGTATTAGTGATTTCACTTGAAAAAAAATTCCAAGGACCTCTTTTGCGATTTGACAGAAGACTTTTATCAGATCACCTTTTGGTTTTTATTTCTAAACTTCCTTTCCTTCATATCTTGCATCTAGGGTTTCCAAACTCTTCATCATCTTTCCTGATCCTCCCTCTACACGGAGAAGAAGCAGGAATTTCTTCATTAGGAATCAGAACCTCAGCTCTCTACTACTGTGGCATATATGGTCCCTAGTCTGTCTATTTGGGGACAGAGGAGGAAAGTTGTATGGCTCCATGGAAAACATACAGGTCTAGATTTCAAGAGACCTGAGTCCCAATTCTCTCTCTAACAATGACTAGCTAGTCACTGTGCCTCAGTTTCCCTTTCTGGAAGATCGGGATATCACCTTCCTTACCTACCTCATATTAATGGAAAATTAGTTAACTGCTTTGAAAAGTTAAAGGATCACAGATCTAGACCTGAAGGGCATCTCAGAGGTGCCTCACCACCTCACCTGGTCCAACACTATTTACTTTTTGAAGAAATTAAGATGTAGGGTGACTTGCCCAAGGTCATATAGGTAGTAAGTGTCTGAGGTCAGATCTGAACTCAGACCTCCTGACTCCAGGCCTAGTGCTCTATCCACTGTACTAATCAACTGCCTCCCTGATCTTCATTTTACAGAAGCAGAAAAGTACCTCACCCTAGGTTACACAGCTCACAGGAGTCAGATGCTGAACCCAGGACTTTCTGACTCCAAGACAGGAGTCACTACACTATCCACTACATTATGCTATCTTATTAGGAATATTGTGAAAACAGAATTAATCAGCAGTCATAATCTGATCTTGAGGATAGGTTTTGTACAATTCTACATAAAATATTGGTGAACTGTTTTTTTTTATTTTAAAGAATTTGTTATTTATTATTTTGAACTTCAGACACTGAGAAATATGAACTCTTTCATTAACATAGAAAAGAAAAACAGGATTACGTATGAACTTTTTTTCTTTTGTATATCTCAAAAAACACTTAAGATCATAGGCTATTAAACCTGCAACAGAAATCTCACCTTCTAGAGGGAAATTTGTACATTGAATTGGATCTTACCTCAGTCACAGGAACTTCATACTCTTCTCCTGAAATAAGAAATATAAATTTTATTTGTTAAATTGGGAGACATTTGGCCTCTACATAAAAAATCAGTTTGCTTATGAAGATCAAATAAGATGACACATATAAAATGTTTTGTAAACCTTAAAGCATGATGTAAATGTTGCCTCTCATTATTGAGGTAATAGAAAAGTATTTGTTAAGTACTTACTACACATCAAACAGTGTGCTGGGTGCTGAAGATACAAAGGCAAAAATGCAACAGTCCCTGCTCTCAAAGAGCTTCTGTTCAGTCAAAGGATACTATCCATCCATCCATCCATCCATCCATCCATCCATCCATCCATCCATCCATCCATATCTAGCTGTCTGTCTGTCCGTCTATCCATCCATCTGTACACATATTTACATACTTATAAAGATATGTATATATGCAAATATTATATAGGCATGTATATGTACATATATGTACATCCACATATATGTAAGTACTGTGCTGAGAGATATGGAAGAAGTGCATTCAGAGGAAAAGGGCAAACCTATGAAAAGGCATGGAGGTGAGAAATTTAATGTTGTATATGAAGAATAGCAAGTTGGCCAGTTTAACTGGTACATAAGCATATAAAGGAGAATAATGTGTAATAATCCTGGAAAAGTAGACTTTAGCCAAATTTGAAGAGTTTCACGTGCAAAACATGGAGTTTTTATTTTATCATAAAGGAGAGTGGGAGCCCGTGAAACTTCTTTAATAGGAGAGTGACATAGTTGGACTTGAATTTTAGGAATATCAATTTTGTGACTGTGTCAAGAAGAATGGATTAGAGAAGGGAGAGTCAGAAGGCAAGGAGACCAGTTAAGAGGGGATTGTAAGAGTTCAAGTGAGGGGCGATAAGGACCTGAATTAGGATAGTCAGTCTTTTTGAGTGGAAAGAAAAGGGCGGACGTAAGACACACTGGGCAGGTAGAATTGACAAGCCTTGGCAATTGATTGGTTACAGGTGTGTGGCAGTGGCAGGGTGGGGCAGATCGTTGATGACAAATCTGAGTTTGGGAACTGCTGTGACTAGCAGCATAGTGGTATCCTTGACATAAATGGAGAGGATACAAAGGCGTGGGTAAGTAGCAAGTAGTTGGGGGAGACAATGACTCCTGTTTTGGGATATGCTGAGTTTGAGATGCTTATGGTATATCCAATGAGAAATGCTGACTAGGCAGTTGATGATGGAGGAACTGATAGAATGAGAAGGAATTTCAAAAAACCCATTGCTTTCTCTGGAAGAATAATAGAGAAATACAATCCTTTTTGTAGTACCTACTTTGCAGGGAATCAGAAATAAATGCCTTGTCCTGCCCTTCCATTGAAAAAAATAAGGGCTTATGATGTATCCTCTTCAATTCCTTACCACAGTTAAATCACCATGGGTTTTAAGTTCTCAGCTAGTTTGAATAGAAGCTATCCATGTTATATGGATGCAGATGCTGATTTTGACTCTGAGCTGCTTCTTATAGGTAATGGTTAATAAGGGACACAGAACCTGGGGTACAATGATAAATCCAGCACTTCTAACTAATTTTCACATATTAATCTGGACAAGTTAATTAATATTTCTGTGTTTTAGCTATTTCTGTTCAGATAGTCAGGATTAGCCTTATGATGATTATCATATATGAAAATGAATATATTATAAAAGTTGTAAAAAATTCTTAATTTCACTTAAATGAAACATGAGCCAATAATTTTTGTTTTTTTGCAAAACAGAATGAATTAAAAATCACACAAACCCCAACATTGATGAAAGGTAATTGTAATAGAAGGAAGCCTTTCACATATTTATTAATTTTTATTTGTCCAGTCTCCATTTAGATCTGTGTCTTTTGCTTCTGTTCCTTGTGTTGATTACTTTTTTGGTTGCATTATGATCTATAAAGGATATATTCAGTATTTCTGCTTTCTTACATTTACTTGTAATTTTTCTGTGCCTTAATTTATAGTCTATTTTTCTAAAGGTACTATGTGGTGCTCATAAATATATACCCTTCCTAGTGCTCCATCTCAGAAGATGTCAAAATTCTTTTAGCTCTAAAATTCTTGTGTTCTAATCTTTGTCCTTATATGTGATCCATCTAAATTGTTCAACTTAGTCTGATTTTAAAAAAATGTCTATACTCTACCTGGGGCTAAAGCAGGTACAGGTGGAGGAGAGGTTGGTGGTGCAGAACTAGGTTTGATGGATCTGTTCACCTTGGGAGCTTAAAAATAAACAATTAGTTATTAGAGACATGCCTTAACAAAGAAAAATCCAAATTTATGGCAAAAACAAATCATGGAAAGAGTCTTTCATGAGTATCTCTGATAGCCTACTGAATGGGTCAAATGAAATCCTTTACAAATAATGCCAAACAGCAAAGTAGATAAGTTATTAAGAAAAAAATAAAAAATAAACCTTTTGAGAAAACTGTCAATAAAATCATATTTAACACCCCCATGGAACATTAAAATTATTTTACTGTAATAGAATTTTTCTAGAAATAGTACTAACATTGCTGGACCTGGAGATAAAATGTGGTTAACTCCCAACATCTTTCTCTCTCTCTTATATCATACACACACACACACACACACACACACACACACACACACACACACACACACACACACGTACACGCACACACTTTCCCCCTCTACCACATCTACATCTTATTTTTGATGGTGTTTGTCTCCATGTGTGTTCTGGGAACTCAGGTAGATTATGTGTAGGTTGTCGTAATATTTGAGGAGATAAAGCCTGACAGCAGGTAAGGACAATTACTGCTTTCTGGAGGAACAAAAGCTTAGGTCAGGTCTCCTTTTAAAGCAAACTAACTTAATTATCACATGACCAGATCAGACAAAACATTTAACCATATTTATTGTCTAGAATTGTTGTTGTTTTGTCCATCATTCTGGAAGAGGACCGATGACATCATGGGAAGGTGACATTTGGACTTGCATGGCAATTGCATTTAAGTGAGACAGAGCTGTGCCATGTCATCAACCTCAGTAGCCATATAAAGAAAGAATGATTCCCAAGAATAATCTAAGGAGGTATGAAAATAGCTTTGCCACACAGAATGCATCTTTGTGTCATTGCATTTTTCTGAATGGAATTTCCCAAGTGGGAGTTTTTACTTTTTTCTTTCTTTTAAAAATATTTTTAAAATTTTTATTTTCAGTTTCAAATTCTCTCCTTCTCTCTCCACCCCCTGTCCATTGAAAAAGCAAGAAATATGATACCCATTATACATATTAAGTCATACAAAACACATTTTCACAGTAGTCATATTGCAAGGGGAAAAAAAGCAAGAAAATAAAGTGGAAAAAAAATCCTTCAATCTTCACTCAGAGTTCATCAGTTGTCTCTCTCGAGGTGATTAACATGTTTCATTATGAGTCAGTTGGAATTGTTGTGGATCATTGCACTGATCAGAATAGCCAAGTTTTTCATAGTTGATTGTCTTTACAATATTGCTGTTATTTCTCCTAGTTCTGCTCACTTCACTTTGCTTAACTGAGAGTTTTTATTTTTATTCTATATATATATATATATATATATATACATATATACATATATACGTATACACACACACACACACACACACACACATATACACACATTTATTTATTTAGGCAATTGAAGTTAAGTGACTTGCCCAGGGTCACACAGCTAGTTAAGTGTCAAGTGTTTGGTCTGAGGCCAGATTTGAACTCAGGTCCTCCTGACTTCAGGGCCGGTGCTCTTATGCACTGCGCCACCTAACTGCCCCCAACTGAGAGTTTTTAAAAGAATATTTTTCTTGAGATAGAGGTAAAGACAATTGAAACAGATCAGGCCCATAGGGACCATTGTACTCTTCCATGAATCTGGTCTCAAGAAAGCATAGTTTATGATATAATGTTTTTTCTGTCTGCATAGAATATGAATTTTAATATTTCAGAAGTATTAAGAATAAATCACCGTAATCGATCAAGAAACATTTATTAAGTGCTTACTATGCCCTGTGCTTTGTAGTAGGGACACAAACGCAGAAGTGAGACAGATCCCCTTCTCAAAAAGCTTATAATATTTTAATATAGTTTTAATAGAGTAATCAATTTCCTATATATATATTTTAATTGAAATTATAATTAGAATTGTTGTTTTAGTACTTATTGAAGTATTTTAAATTCTAAAGAGAAGCATAATTTTCTCTCTAAATATATGATTTTGAAATGTCTACTGATACGATTTTTCATTTCATCTTCATCCCAGGTCAGGTTGACATCTGCCCTGCCATTAGGCTTGCCCAAACCCCCCACCCCTCAGTTTTCCATCTGTTGCTGTTGTTGTTTTTCAGTCATTAAATCACGTCCAACCCTTTATGAACCTATTTGAGGTTTTCTTCACAAAAATGCTGGAGTGGTTTGCCATTTCCTTCTCCAGCTCATTTTACAGATAAGGAAACTAAGGCAAACAGGGTTAAATGATTTGCCCAAGGTCATTCAGCTAGTAAATGTCTGAGGTCAGATTTAAACTCAAGAAGATGAGTCTTCCTGACTTCAGTCCACTGTGCCATCTAGCTGCCCATTTTATCTCTTGTACTAAGGTGTTAGGGCAGGTAGGTAGCACAGTAGATAGAGCACTGGGCCTGGAGTCAGGAAGACCTGAGTTCAAATATGGCCATAGACACTTAGTAGCTGTGTGACTCGGGGCAGGTCACTTAACCCTGTCTGCCTCAGTTTCCTCATCTGTAAAATGAATTAGAGAAGGAAATGGCAAACCAATCTAGTATCTTTGCCAAGAAAACCCAAAATGGGCTCATGAAGAATAAAACAGGACTGAAATGACTGAACAACAACAAAAACTAAGGCCTTAATGGAATCAGCACCATCATTGCTTTGGAAAGGGTCTATCAATCTAGGGCCCAATTGTTCTACTTGCCATCCTTATAACTTCCTAGATCAAAAACACTTTTCCCTGGCTACCAGTCCCCTATATATGTTGTATCTTCCCATTAGAATGTAAGCTTCTTGAGGTCAGGCACTGTATATTTGTAGCCCCAACACTAAACACAGTGCCTAGGATATAGTATTCATTTAATAAGTACACACTATGGATAAAATAATTTAAATAAAATTTAATTTTAAAAGAATTAAACTTTATGTAACTATTTTTTGTGTTTTTTCTTCTTTAAATCTCTTTACACTTTTATTAATTTATTTATTTTTAGTTTTCAACATTCACTTCCACAAGATTTTGAGTTCCAAATTTTCTCCCCATCTCATCCCTCCCTCCACCCCTTCCCTAATCTGTCCTCCCTTCTATCTCCCTCCCCCCTTCTCTTATTTTCTTCCCCTTCCATTTTCCTGTAGGGCAGGATAGATTTCTATACCCCATTGCCTGTATATCTTATTTCTCAGTTGCACATAAAAACAATTTTTTAACATTTGTTTTTAAAACTTTAGGTTCCAAAATTTCTCCCTTCCTCCCTCCCTACTTACCCTCATTGAGAAGGCAAGCAACTCGATACAGATTATACAAGCGTAGTCATGCAAAACACTTCCATAGTAGTCATGTGGTGGAACACTAACTATATTTCCCTTCATCCTATCCCACCTTCCCATTTATTTTATTCTCTCTTTTGACCCTGTCCCTCCTCAGAAGTGTTTGCTTCTGATTACCCCCTCTCCCAAGCTGCCCTCCCCTTTATTATCTCCCTGCTCTCTTATCCCCTTCCCCCCTATTTTCCCATAGGGTGAGGTAAATTTCCATATCCAACTAACAGTGTATGGTATTCCTTCCTTAAACCAAATCTGATGAGAATAAGATTCACTCATTCCCTCTCACCTTCCCCCACTTCCCCTCCACTATAAAAGCCTTTTCTTGTGTTTTGTGTGAGATAATTTACCCCATTCTACCTCCCCCTTTCTCCTTCTCCCAGTATAATCCTCTCTCACACCCTTAATTTTATTCTCCAGATATCACCCCTTCATCTTCAACTCACTCTATCTATCTATCTATCCTCTATCTATCTACCTATCTATCTATCCACATAATTTCTTTCCCCTCCAACTACCCTAATACTGACAAAGGTCTCATGAGTTACAAATATCATCTTGCCATGCAGAGATGTAAATAGTTCAACCTTCATAAGTCCTTTATGATTTCTCTTTCCTGTTTACCTCTTCATGCTTCTCTTGAGCCTTGTATTTGAAAATTGAATTTTCCATTCAGCTCTGGTCTTTTCATCAAGAATGCTTGAAAGTCTTCTATTTCACTGAATGTCCATTTTCCCCCCTGAAGGATTATACTCAGTTTTGCTGGATAGGTGATTCTTGGCTGTAATTCTATCTCCTTTGACCTCTGGCATATTATATTCTAAGCTCTCCAGTCCCTTAATGTAGAAGCTGCTAAATCTTGTATTATCATGATTATGTTTCCACAATATTTGAATTGTTTCTTTCTGGCTGCTTGCAATATTTTCTCCTTGACCTGGAACTCTGGAATTTGGCTACAATATTCCTAGGAGTTTTCCTTTGGGGATCTCTTTCAGGAGCTGATGGGTGGATTCTTTCCATTTCCATTTTACCCTCTGGTTCTAGAATATCAGGGCAGTCTTCCTTGATAATTTCTTGAAAGATGATGTCTAGGCTCTTTTTTTGATCATGGTTTTCAGACAGTCCAATAATTTTTAAATTATCTCTCCTGGATCTATTTTCCAGGTCAGTTGTTTTTCCAATGAGATATTTCATATTGTCTTCTATTTTTTCATTCTTTTGGTTTTGTTTTACAATGTCTTGATTTCTCATAAAGTCACTAGCTTCCATTTGCTCCATTCTAATTTTTAAGGAAGTATTTTCTTCAATGACCTTTTGGACTTCCTTTTCCATTTGGGCAATTATGCTTTTTAAGGCGTTCTTCTCCTCACTGGCTTTTTGGACCTCTTTTGCCATTTGGTTAGGCTATTTTTGAAGGTGTTATTTTCTTCAGTATTTTTTGGGGTCTCCTTTAGCAAGCAGTTGACTTGTTTTTCATGATTTTCTTGCATCACTGTCATTTCTCTTCCCAGTTTTTCCTTTACTTCTCTTACTTGTTTCTCAAAATCCTTTTTGAGGGGGCAGCTAGGTGGCGCAGTGGATAGAGCACTGGCCCTGAAGTCAGGAGGACCTGAGTTCAAATCTGGCCTCAGACCAAACACTTGACATTTACTAGCTGTGTGACCCCGGGCAAGTCACTTAACCTCAAATGCCTAAAAATTTTTTTAAAAAAATATTTTTAAAAATCCTTTTTGAGCTCTTCCACGTAGGAGCTTTGACTTTGTTGTCTTCTTCTGGTTGTATGTTTTGATCGTCTTTGTCTCCAAAGAAAGATTCTATGGTCTGACTATTTTTTTTGCACAGTTTGCTCATGTTCCCAGCCAATAACTTGAGTTTTAAACTCTTTGTTAAGGTAGGGGTCTGCTTCCAGTGTGGAGAATGTACTGTCCCAAGCTTTGGGGGTTTTGTGTAGCTGTTTTCAGAGATACTTGTAGGGACCTGTAAATTTTCAGTTCTTCCAAGGTGGCATGATCAAGAGTAAGGTGTTTACTCCTTTCCTGGCCTGTGCTCTGGTTTATGAATGACCACAAGCACTCTTTTCTGCCTTGGAACTGTGAGAAGAATTTCCTCTCCACCACTGCCACAAGCTCTACCATGCCACCGCTCCTCCTTGCCCCAGGACCACCACCCAGAACTGCATACCAGATCCAAGCACAGGCAAAGCAAGAGAATCCTGCTTCAGCACCAGCAAAGAGATCCCTGCAATCCCCCTCTGATCAGCCACTCTATTCCCCCTCAGTCTGTGGGCCGAGTGCTCTGGAAGCAACCACAGCCCCAGGGCTACACTGGGACGGAGCTTCTCTCTCACTGCAGTCACAGACCTTTCCTACTGACCTTCTAAGTTGTCTTTGGCGTTTGTGGATTGAGAAGTCTGGAAACCACCACAGCTGCCCATGATTCAGTCCTCTGAGGCTACAGTCCTACAACAGTAGGTTCGCTGAGGCCCTGTTTTTGCCTGCACAGCCCATGCTGACCTGTGCTCCCCTCCCAGCTCGGTGCAATAGACCTTTCCAATCCACCATCCAGGTTGTCTTGGGCTGGAAATTTGTTTCACTCTGTCTTTTTGTGGGTTCTGCTGCTCTAGAATTTGTGTAGAGCCATTTTTTACAGGTATTTGGAGGGGTTTTGGGGAGAGCTCAAGCAAGTCATTGCTTTCATTCCACCATCTTAGCTCCACCCCCTATGTAACTATTCATGAAATCATTCCTCACTTTAAGTTACATTGAGTCTATCTGTCAACATATCTGAATTTAATTTGCTAATGTGAAAATATCATGGAGCAGGGAGAGGGCATATTCTCAACATGGTATTGACCCACCTGCAGCCCAGGGGTCTAGCAGCCAAAGAAAATTATAGCTGCTCAGTTAAAATGGCTGTTTTTAAGCCCACGCTTACCACCTCAATTAAAATGGCTGTTTTTAAGCTCACACTTACCACCTAACAACCGTATATTCTCTGATCAAGTGCTAGAATTTATCTAAAATGTCCATGGTCTTACCTTGTTCAGATGGGAGTGAATCACCTTCTGTAGGATGGATGTAGTTTTCATCTTCATCTTCAACAGGAACCACATAATCGGTCTTTAAAAGTATAGAGATAAAAGCAATCACTGCTTAGCGTTCTCCAGAGGACAGTTCTACATTGACAGGAAAGTCTCTAGGGGAGATGACCTCAAGAATCCCTTCTGTCTTAACATAACTCTTGGTTGCCTACCTTCCTTGATGTGACTGTCACCCTTGGTACTGGACCATGCCTCAATCAGACATAAGGTTATGGGGACTTGTGGACCTAGAACATGTATGGGTGGGATGGGAAGGGACCTTGAGACCAAGGGAAATAACACTATGAAATCTTGTGGTTGAGCCAAGGGAACCTGGGCACTGAGCCTACCTTGGTCTGGGATTTTGTTACCCACAGACACAGGGCTCAGACCCTTAGGTTGTGGTAAGAACTAGTCCCTCACCACAAATACCACCATGGCAAAAAGACAGTCCTAGCCAGCCAGGTTGCTGCAACCTCCTCTACTACAAATCTTGCATCTCCTCCTGTCCCCTTCATCCCATCTTTTCCTCTCTTTTCCCTCTTATATTCTCATATTGATTTCTCCCCATTCTGCATAGACTGATAACAAATATGGTCATTGGAATGGACCCCCTTGCATCTCCACTTATATGGAGATAATCCCCAAAAGCTACTCCAAGTTTGCTTTAATGTACTATGTGGGTCAATACCCACTCAAAACCATTCCTCATGATCCCGTACTGATGTGGTTATGAATGTGTATCAGAGGACACATTAATTCAATCAAAGACATTTAGTCAAATAGTGTAGTAACTGAAATGAAGAGAGAAATTTACCTTTTCTCCCCCTACCCCCACTATGATGGTCACACAAAGGTTACATTATCCCACAAGTGGATATTATACATTATAAGTGGATACATTATACCACCAGTGGAGAGGGTACACATGATCCTTATGTGTGGATCCTTCTTACTTAAGGCATAGTGCCCTGAGGGAGATTGTGGGGAAAGGAATCTTCTCATGTCATTTTGTTTGCTTTGCTGTCAAACAGACATTTGTTTTGTTTGAACTAATATGTTATCTGGCTGGCAAAAGTACACAGTCAGAGGAGTACAGCGGAAAGAGCATCAGCTCAGGAACCAAGGGGCCTCAGTTCAAATCCTGCCTTGACGCTTACTCCTTTGAAACCTTGGGCAAGTCACTCCCTGGGCTTCTGTTTCCGCATCTGTAAAAGGAAGTTGGACTGAATGGTCTCTAAGGGCTATTCCAGTTCTAGCTATGGGATGTCACAATCCCATGACTTTGAAAACAGGCTAGATTTTCTAGGACACCCACATGTGAGAAAGCGAGCTAGGGAGTACTAGATAATAAGTAAACCTTTTACCTTAGTGATATTGTCTACATTGCACTATAAAGAGAAAGTAACAAAAAGATCATCCCTAGAAATCTATTACTTTCCCTTTAAACCAGAATTTCCAAGAAACCCATATTCTCTTGAAAATTAATGTGAATTTCAAACACTTGTAGCTTACTGTTTAAAAAGCACTGGGCAGAGACAAGTTGACTTTCTGTTGATGGAGCACCTTAGGAAAGGAGCCAATGTGTGAGGGATGGTGTGGGAGGAGGGGGGAGCTTTTAGAGGAGGTGGGAAGGTACCTACTTCATAATCCCTCCCAGGGATACCTTTTAAAGTGGACACCAAATCACAAACTCCTCTTTCCCCATCTTTTCTTCTTTTCCATCTCAGGAGAGAAAGCAGACAGTCAAAGGGTCAGAAAGGAGGCAGAATTAGAAAGAAATTCAGTGCAGCAGAAAAGCAAAAGTGGAGAAAGGAAAAAGAAAAATGGAGGGATAAGAGGAATTGAAAGGTGATGGGAAGGGGACAAAGGTGAGGGAGACTGATCCACAGTTAGCATCACACCATTACTCAGGGCCGTAACCAATGTCGTCAGGCAGGTGATGAGCATTTATTAAGCTCTTGGGAACCCTGCCCTACTTTGGGATGTCTAGGTCCCAGGTGTATGTCTCCACACATCAATTCACTAGTTAAGTTTTTTATAGTTCCATAACTATTTCTGGGGTCCCATTAGTACAAAATTTCTGCATACAGCCTGCTTCTAAGAAAATATTAAAACAAGATCCTACAAAAAGCTTTTCTTGTGCATAGAATGTTCTCTTTCTTTGTCTCTGCCTCTTAACTTACCTGGCTTCCTTCAAGACCCAACTCAAATTTCACCTTCTATTGAAGGCCTTTACATGCTCCCCCCCCCCCCCCCCCCCCCCCCCCCCTTTCGACTCTCTTCTGTCTACCAGTAATTTATGTTGCTTCTCCCATTAGAAGACCCTCCTTGAAGGCAGGAGCTATGTTTCTGCCTTTGTATTCCTGGCATTATGACTGATTGATTGCAGGAATTTACACATTCAAGAGAGTTGAGCAGTTATGGGGATGAAGACCCCAGAGTGGTAAGACCCCACCCTTTCACTGTTTACTTTGTACATATTTGGTATCTCCTTATGTGTGTGTATATGCTATATGCTCAGGTAGACTATAAGCTCCTTGAGGGCAGGGACTATTTTGGTTTTGTCTTCATATCACTTGTGTCTAGAACAAAGTTGATGCTTAATACACGTCTGTTGACTGACAGAGTGTTTTGCAAAGGTCAGCCCAGAGACCAAGGAGGCCTTTGCAGCTAAGTGTATGGAAGAGCTTTTGCCATTAACATAAGGATTACCTCATCTTCCAAGCAGTTTTTTGGCTTTGGTGAGAACTGAGGCTTCTGCGGAAGAGGTACCTGCGAAGTTGAGTGCTTTGTTTTCTGGGAAGGCCAACTTGCTTTACTTGGAAGTGTCTTGCTGAAAGGTGGAGAATGTCTCTGGTTTGATCGATTATCTTTAAAGGAAAGTACACACACATATATACAACATAAATTTAACTCCCGATTATTCAGTGGTTGGAATTCATTTGAGTGCTTTTTTTTTTTTAAAATAAAAGTCATTCCTGAAAGGTATACAGTACAATTTCATACACAGAATCCTATTTTGTCATTGCCTTATGTCATAAAGTTATAGATGCTTTTCTATAGAAAAAAAAAATCTGATTGAACTGAAAACTTTAAGCAATTGGGGTTTGAACCCAGGCCTTCTGTCTCCATACCCAATGCTTTTTATACTTCCTCTGGGTATAGGATTTTATGGGAATTTATGGGAACCATGGGTCAGACAGGACTAATCAGAAAACAGTGTGTCTTGGTTATAGTGAAGAATTGTTTTTCTTCACCTCTCTCTCTCCTCTTCCTCCTCCTCCACTTTCTTCTCTGTTTCCTTTGGAAGGGGAGATAATTAATATTTCATTTTCAAAGGCTTTCTCTGCTAGGCTGCCAACTGAATATGAAAGTAGACATCAACAGTCCTATTTAGTGTCTCAATAAAACAGAATAAGTGAACATTACAACAACTAAAAAGCAAGATTTCTGACAAATAAATCATTTTCCATACATGGGAGGGGGTGCGTGTGACAGTGGGGTGTAGTAGGAAGAACACCAGGCAAGGATTCAGTAAACCTGGGTTCTAAGTCCTGCCTCTGGACCTAACTTAGAGCAAATCACTTGAGCTTCCCTGGGCCTCATTTTCCGCACATGTAAAACAAGGATATTGTAAACAATGATTTCAGAGGTTCCTTCTACTATGAAATCTGAGTCATCTGGGGATAACTGAGAACTGACTATAACATAGATTTCCTATTTTTTTTTTCTTTTTAGTTATCACTTTAAATCAAAGTCCTGATATATTTGGTCACCACTGGAGGGCAACCTTACTGGACAAGTGTGGTAGTATTATCCCTGTTTGCTCTCTACTTCTTCAGATGGGGATTTGAAAACACACAGGAATGTTTGTATTATGCAATACAACAATGTTTGTATTAAGGTTGTGCAATCTTATATTTCCTTGTCAAGAGATACTAACATTTAACTTTTGTTTCAACTGAACTTTGCGGGAAAAAAATCCCCTTTTGGAGCAAAGGGATAAGAAAAGCTAATGTGCAATTTGTAAATCTGAACTTATTGGGATCTGGGTCCTTGTTTTATACTCTACATTAAATATTTGTGTTATTCTAGCTTCATTTACAGTTTTCTTTGACAGTATTTCAAAGTGCTCAGGTCTGCTGATCCTTTTAGTCACCTGTGCTGCAAAATACCAGTAGTTTCTTTGTTTTTCTTTTGGGGTTGGGTGAGGGAGAGGGTTTTCTCTTTAATGAAAAAGAATACTGGAATTAAAGTATGAGTGCCGAATTTTCAATTCTACCTGTGGTATTTCCTAGCTATATAATCATTAGCAAGCCACTTAACTTGTCCCAATTTCCTTATCTGTAAAATTGGGATAACAATAGCACTTAGTAGGTCTCAAATGAGATTATGTATATGAATTGCTTTGAAAGATTTAGGATTGGAATGGCTGAACCAGTTGTGGTACGTGATTGTGATGGAATACTATTGTACTATAAGAAATGACAAACAGGATGCTTTAAGAAAAACCTGGGAAGACTTACGTGAACTGATGCAAAGTGAAATGAGTAGAACCAGGAGCACATTGCACACAGTAACAGGAATATTGTAAGGATGATCAACTGCGAAAGACTTAGCTACTCTCAGCAATACAATAATACAAGACAACCCTAAAAGACTTATGATAAAAAAAAAAAAGCTATCCACCTCCAGAAGAACAGAAGGATTATGAATGAAGATTGAACCTTTATTAATTTTTTTAGTCAGTGTTTTCTTTTGTAACATGACTAATATGGAAATGTTATGCAGGATTGTACCTGTATAATCTATATCGAATTGCTCACCTTCTCAAGGGGGTGGAAGGGAAGGAGGCAGAGAATTTGGAACTCAAAATTTTTAAAAATGAATGTTAAAAATGTTTACATGTAATTGAAAAAGTTAAATGTAAAAAAAAAGAAAGACTTAGGCTGCTATATAAATGTCATCCATTAATGCTATTTATCAGTAATAATTATTATAAACTATGTTTTCTCTAATAATTCTTAGGCTTTTGAAAAATATTTGGAGTCAAATAAATTCAGAATAGTACTGAGCTGAGAGTCGGAAGACCTGGGTTCCAGTTCTGGTTTTGGTACTTATATGGTCTCAGCAAATCATTTGACTTCCTAAGCCTGTTTTCTTCTCCGTTAAATAGAGATAATACCTGTTCTGCTTTATTTCATAAGGTTGTTGCGAGATCAATTAAAATGAGGCAATGTACCTAAAAGGGGAAAAATGATAAGGATTCCTGTTCCTTGGATATACTGGAGGAGGATGACACTGTTCAACCCCTCTTAGATCTCACTAGTGAAATGTTTTCTTTCTCAATCAAGGCAAATGACTTAAGAAAATGAAGCAGGATTTTTACACTTCCCCTGCATGTCTCCTAGATGGTGATGTAGGTCTGGGCTCTGAATTCATCTCCTCTCCACTTCCCACATCCTCCTACTAGAATAATCTAAATAGTCAGATCAAGTATCAAATAGTGGAATTAATCAATCATGGATTACTAAAGGTCATAGTCACAGGATCTCAAAGTGAGAGAGATGCTTGAGTCCATCCAGTCCAATTCATAGCTGACTCCCCTCTACATCATATCCAACAAGTGGTCCATTATCTAGGTTTTGTTTGGAGACCTCCCTAAAGGTGGAATGCACCACCTTCCAAGTCAGCCCATTCCATCTGGGGATAGCTCTTAATATTAGGAAGTTGTTTTTTCTTATATCAAGTCTAAATATGCCTCTTAATAATTTTCACCCAATGCTACAAGTTCTATCCTCTAGGACTAACTGTGACAAATTTTAATCTCTCTTCCACCTTATAACCTTTCAAATACTTAAAAACTGTTAATTCACATTCCCTGCCCCCATCCCAATGTATTTCTTTTCTCCAGCCTTCAGACACTTTTCCAAACCAGTTTTTTTTTAATACCTTTTGAACATTTTGTCTTTAAACAAAATGTGCAAGCCATAAACCAGTTTTTTTAAGTTACAACCATGCCATTTCCCCTACACAGAATAAGGCATGTTTGGGCTACAAACTAATTCTGACCTTCAGATCTTTGTCTCAAGCTACACAAACTAATAAAGGGAAACATGGGAAGACAATGTTCATTTAGAAGCAGCTGTTAGAGAGGTTCAAGGGGAAAAAGGTTTCTGGGAAGGGATACCAGAGGAGACAGAGAATATGTATGGTGCTTAGCAAACTTTTTTTTTTTTTAATAAATGCTAGTTGTTATTATTGTTATAAATATGGGGAGAATGTCATATGGGTATGATACAGCAGAGAGAACTCTGGATGTTTTGTTAGAGTACCTAGCTAGGTTTGAATCCTGGTTCTGCTGTTTTCTTGATGAGCCAAATCACCTCTTTGGGCCTTGGTATCTTTATCCGTAAAATAAAGGGGTTATACTACATGATCTCTAAGGACACTTTGACTCAAAACCCTGCTTGCAGGGGCCAAGATACTTTCTGGTCTAGAGTTCTAAGAGGAGTCTTTGATAGAGAGAATGAATTGGTTTGCCTTGAAATAACATTGAGTGAGATAAATTCAATGTTGAGTAAAACACATAAATTCTCCACAAATCTCTTTTATATCTTCTTCTCTCTTCACTCACATGGCCATCATTCTAGGTTGACAATCTCTCATCAACTCTCACCTGGACTGCTGTCGTATTCTTCTAATTAGACTCCCTGCCTCAATTTTCTTCCCATTCCAATCTGTCCTCTAATACATTGACCAAAGTGATTTTACTAAAGAGTATATCTGACGGAGTATATATGTTGAACTCAGAAAGATAAGTCTTCCAGGACTGGAGTCTAGAAGATTCATCTTCCTGAGTTCAAATTCAGCCTCAGACACTTACTAGCTGTGGGACCCCAGGCAAGTCACTTAACCAGTTTGCCTCAGTTTCCTCATCTGTAAAATGAATTAGAGAAGGAAATGGCAAACAACTCTAGTATCTTTGCCAAGAAAACCCCAAATGGGGTCACAAAAAGTTGGATATGACTAAAATTGGCTGAACAATAACAATGTTCAACCATGTCATCACCACTGTACTTCCTGCCCCCCACCATCCTCCAGTGGCTCTCTATTATGTCTATAAATCATCTATTGAGCATTTAAAATTCTTCACAACTCGGTCCCTTCCTCTCTTTCCAGTCTTCTTCCATGACTGACCTGTACACCTTCTACTCTGTCCTTTCACAGGATGCTTAATCTGCCATCCTGATCTTTGCCCTGCCTGCGCCTCACAGACCTGGTATGCTCTGCCTCTTAGAAAGGTCTCACTTCTTTTAAGACTCAGCAGACAGGCCGCTTCCTGAAGGAGAACTTTCCTGCCCCCAAATACTAATGCCATCTGCCCTCTAAGGCTACTTTCCTTTACTCTGTAAGCATCTTTTAGGTATGTGTTGTCTCCCTAGTTAAAATGTAAATTCTTAAAGGAAGGGACCATTTTTTCCTTTCTCTTTGAATCCCCAGCACTTATCACAGGGCCTGGCACACAGTAAGTGTTTATTTTAAAAGTTTATGGATTGAATGACTTTATTTGAAGAAAATAATAATGACAGTTTATGTCTCTAAAGAATTTTAAGATTTATAAATCACTTTTTCAACATTATAAATACTATTATTCTCATTTAAGGATGGAAAAACCAAGGCTCTTAGTGGTTAAATAGTTTGCCCATAATCACACTGCTACGAAGTCTCAGAACCAGGACTTAAAACTAAGGTCTTTAGTCTCCATAGAGGCCAGAAATATATTTAATCTCTGCTTTACACATATGTTTGTATTAATATCCACTAGCATGGATACTAGAGAGATGACTATTAGTCTTACCTGCATATTCTCCCTTGGAAAATGGAAGCACAGAGGGGAGCTTCCTTTTTTCTTTTTCTGTAGGAGGAGGTTCATAGCTGTCATCTGTAGTTTCTTCTCCAGGTACCACATAGGTTTCTGAATCAGAGGGTTCATCTGGATTTTCATAGTCACTGTCCTACAAACATAGGTTGACTTCAGCTGTGATCAGGAAAAGTTAGCCATAAAATGAATTTCTATTAAAATTGTCTTATTCCCCATTGATGTATGTTTGGAAAGTGGGAGATGTAGTCTCAAAAGAAAAAAGAACGCTGCTTCCATGACCAAACTTCTAAAAATCACACACTCACAAAATAAGAGGATTTTTCAGAGCAAACATTTAGCGATTATTTTCAGAATAAGACATAGAATATAACTTCAGTATGAAGAAAAAACTGCTTAACAATGAGAACTGCACCAAAGTGGAAAGGGCTACCTAGAGAGGTGTTGGGTTCCCCTTCCTTGGAGGCCTTCAAATAGAGATTGAATGACCTTATATCACCTTGTCAGGTGTGTGATAGTGGGGATTCCTTTAAAGCATGAATTTGACTACATAGGTGCTGAGGTCCCTTCTCAAATGCTGACTCTGCAAAACTGCAAAACTATTGTACTCCAGCATCTTTATCAAGGAGTCTCAATGATTTTTAATGACCACATTCAGTTTTTATAGCTGTTACTTAACCATTTAGTTCCTCATTTTAGTGAGACTTTAAATCAGGGGGTAGGGAGCCTGCAGTCTGGAGGCTGCATGTGGCCCTGCACTGCACTTGAGGACCTGGAGGGCCACATGTGGTCTTGAGGTCACAGGTTCCCCACCCCTGATTCTTCTCTTACAGTTGGGATTTGCTCCATAACTGGCCACATCTGAACTTTTCATTATTATTATAGTTAGTAATAATGATAATATTAACTCACATTTACATAGTACTTTAAAGATGTATAAGGTACTTCCCTAACAACCACCTTGTGGAGATTGGGAGTGAAAGTATTTCCATTTTAAAAGTTGGGGAACTGAAGCTCCAAGAATTTAGGTGACCTCTGCAAGGTCATATGGCTATAAGCAACAGTCTCTTGGTGCTTCATTTTAAAGACACAGAAGAAGAAGAAATTAAAAGCTTTTATCTTTTCAACTTCTCATATCATGAATTCCTGCCTCTATGTACCATCTTCCCAAATCTTTCAGGGAGATGGGATTTTCTGGGTTTTGCCCACTGTTTTGCAGAAACACTCTAGTCACTATTTCAACTTTTCTTCCCTTGGAGCAGCCTAGGATAGCATAAAGCACTGGATTGGGAAGCAGGAGACCTAGGCTCTAGTCCTGATTCTGCCACCAATTTCTCATGTGACTTTAAGCAAACAGTTTTTACAATTCTGGGGTTTAGTTTCCATCGGTTTCCCTTTCTCCTCTCCCACTGATTTCTTGACCTCTTATAATCCGGCTTCCAATCCCTTCTCCATTTATCAAAGACCACTCGGCAAGGTCACCAGTCATGTTTTAATTGTTGAATCTCATGGCCCTTTCGCAGTCCTCATCCTTCTTGGCCTCTCTGCGGTGTTTGATACAGTATCTTGGACACTATCTATTGACATACCACTCCCTTCTGGTTCCTAAATCATATTGCTCATCTATTTTGAGCTGGAAAGGACCTCAGAGATCAAGTTCAACCCCCTCATTATACACAGGGGAGGTGAAGTTACTTCCCTAGGGTCATATAGATAGTGAACAGCAGAGAGGAGATCTGAACTCAGGTCTTTCGATGCCAAATCCAGTGTTCTTTCCACTAGTCCATGTTGTTCTCCCAGTTTTCATAGTTTATGACTGCCTTTAACTTGGATAGAGAGAGCTGGGTTTAGTTAATTTGGTTTCTTTGTCGCCTTTTCTTTCTAATCAATCTATTCTTGAGCCTACAACATCTATAGCACCAGAGAATATTACATGAGAATAATTAATATATATTATAAACCTGGAGATTATCTAGGTTATCATTTTGCTGACGAGGAAATTGAAGTGACTTGCCTAGGGTTCCATGGCTGTTAAGTGACAGATTTTTATGAAAACATGATAAAAGCCTTATAGGTCACCTAAAAAATAACCTCCCCTTGTATGAATAAAAAAATGTATTATTCCCTGCCCCATTCCCCCCATTAGAATGTAAGTTTCTTGAGGTCAAGAACTATCTAGTTTGCTTGCATTCATAGCTTGAGTGCTTGGCACACTGCCTGTCACGATGCATGCACTTAAGGAGTTTCATTTGCAAAATGGGCATTGACCGTTCCCGTTTTTACCCTGGCTCCCTGACTTTCTCATAGCCCTGAGCCTGCTCCTACATGTTTTCCCAAGTTACCGGTCTAAAAGGCTGTGCTTACATGAGACCAAGCAACATTCAGTGGGAGTTTTAGTGGATCCAAGTTCAACGCAAGTCATCAGTGTGAAATGGCACTTATAAAAACTAATTTAACTTTGGATCGCAGTAAGCTAGCCTCCAGAGTTAAGGAAGTGATAATCCTATTGACTCTGACTCGCTCAGACCAACATCTGAAGTACTGGGGTCAGTTCTGGGCATCTCATTTCAGGAAGTATGTTGATGACCTGAAGAATGTACTGAAGAGGGTAACTAGCATGTTGAAGGGCCTTAAGACCATGCTGAAGCAGATTTAGTTGAAGGAACTAGAACTGTTTAGCATGCAAAAGATGAAAGTTCAAGGGACCATGATAGCTGTCGTCAAGGGTTCAGAAGGTAGTCATGTAGAAGAAGGCTTATGCTTATTCTTTTTGGCTCTGTTTTGGAAGAACTTGGAACAATGAAGCAAGTGTCGCAAAGAGGCACATTTGGACTTCATTTCTTTGTAAAGGAAAAAATTCCAAACCATTTGAGTTATTCCAAAAGAGAATGGGCCACCTGAGGAAGTAGGGTGTTGCCCCCTTCAATGGAGGTTTTCAAACAAAGGCTGGATGCCCACTTCCCTACTATGTTATCTAGGGGATGTTATCTACATTTTTAGCTATGAGTTGGACCAGATGAGTGCTACTAAGGTCTCTTTCAACTCCGAGATTGTAGGATTTTGTAGTTCTGTGAATGCCATTTAAAAAAAAAAACAAAACTGAATTAATGAATAGTTTTTTGCTTTGAGTAGATAGTCTTTCAAGTTAATGTCTCTGGCTTTAATCAAATACACAATAACACACAACAAACATGTGTAGTAGACATGTAGATATCTTTATATGCCATGAAAAATCTAACAAAAAGGTAATGGGTCAGAAGTCATTATCTGAAGGAGTCAGAAGAAGCAATATGGTATAGGAGATGAATTTGGTATGTCACTTCCCTTTCAATGACCCAAAATGTGTAATTTGGAAGGAAACAGCTATAATTGTCTTCTCCAAGAGCCAGATTGACAGAATACCTTCCACTGATGTCAGCAGGACATACTTACAAAGTCATCTGACCACTGTTCCTCTTCATCAACCGGGCTTTCTAAAGAAGACATCAGAGGGAAAAGAAGATCACATGAGCACACGTAACGGCCAGTCTATTTAAGTTAAAAACAAACCTTTTCCCCAATTCAATTCAATCAGCATTATTAATCAAGTGATTTGTGCAAGGTGCTAGGCACCGAGGATACGAAGACAAAAAAAAAGAACCTGCCCTCAAGAAGCTTACGTTCTATTAGTGGATACAGCATATAAACATTTACAAAAATACAAAATAATCTGAGATGGAAGAGGACATAAACAACCAGAGGTGAAGGTCAAGAAAGGCTTCTCTCAAGAGGTGACACCTGAGAAGAACCTGGAAGCCAGGTCTAAGGGGAGAAGGCATTCCAGATATGGCTTTCAGCCTGTACAAAGACATGAGGTACTCCTGGGACACCACCCTCTGATTGGAGGGTGGAGGACTCTTCCTATGACTTTTATTTAAGGAGGGTCCTCAGGCTAGTCATCTCTCCATTTTCCACCAGGCTGCATGCCTTTGGCTGGATTTCTCTATCATGCCCCAGAAACTTTTCTTCTTAGAAGATCACTTCAGCTCTGGAACTCATAGCTCGGAAGTACCCCCTACCCCTGAAGCCTCTCCCTCTGACTAGAGGCTGGAAGGCTCCTCCCAGAACTCCATTTAAAGAGGGCTTAAAGAGGGTACATAGATCAGTCATCTCTTCATTTCTCATTAAGCTATACCCTTCTGGCTAGGTTTCTTCATCATGTCCTGGTCCTGATTGCTTTCTTCTCTTTTTCCCTTCTCCTCTTTTTCTACTTCCTTTTATGTGTTATCTTTCTCATTAGAATGTAAGTTCCTGGAGGGTAGGGACTGTCTTTCTTTTTGCTTGCATTTATATTTCTAGTGCTTAGCACAGGGCCTGGCCCATGGTAAACATTTAATAAATACTTGTTGACTGTGTAGAGAAAGAAGATAACGAGCTAGGATAGGGGCTAGGCATACATCTACAATTAGGGGGAATAATATAGATGATACCACAGCAAAGAAAACTGTGAAGGAGTGGTCAGGAAGGTAAAAGGGGAAACTAAAAGAGAGCAGTGTCAAAAACAAAAACAAAAAAACCAAAAACAACCCAGAGAAGAGAGAGTGGTCACATGCTGCAGAGAGGTCAAGAAGATGAGGACTGCTGTGCAGTCAGAAATCACCACAGACTCCCACATTGGAAATCACTATTCTGAAGAAGCTTAGAGTAGGGATAGGTAAGGTAAGGTGGAAGCAGGAGGACAGACTTAGGAACTGTGGCACACCTGGACTTTCTATGGAGTAGATGGTTTAATTTTGTGAATGTAATTGAATAGACTGTGCTGGAAAGTTGGCATTCTGGTTGTACCACATTCTCAAAAAAAAAAAAAAAGCCTTACCTTCATATTTACTATTGGATAATTAAATCCCACAAAATAAAGAGGATCTAATTTCTTATTTTGGCCCCAAATTAAGTGTTATCACATTACCCTTCTCCTTAACCTCAGACCTACATTAGATCAATTGACAGCAGAACATCTGCTATGAACCCAGCACTGGGAAAGGCACACTGGGAAAAAGGGTAGGGTATAAGAGAAGCATAAGATGGGGTCTGTGCCTTCTAGGAGCTTAAAATACAGTTGGGGAAATTCAACTAAAAATGTGAAACTATCATATTATTAATATCAATTAAAGACAGCATATAATTAAGTGTTTAACGAAGCAGAGTAGAACAAAAGTTTTAAGAAGAGAGAAGTCAATGCAGGCTGGAGCAATTGGGGAAAGTTTCCAAAAGGAGGTAAGTGGGACTCAGATCTAGAGCTCAGAACTAACGCTACCTCCTGCCACAAGTCTCTTCCTACACCAGTCCATTTTCTACTCAGTTGCCAAAGTGATCTTCCTAAAGCATAGGTCTGACCATGTCAGGCATGTTCATGTTCAGTTGCTTTCAGTCATGTCCAACTCTGTGACCCCATTTGAGGTTTTCTTGGCAAAGATACTAGAGTGGTTTGCCATTTCCTTCTCCAGCTCATTTTACAGATGAGGAAACTGAGGCAAACAGGGTTGAGTGACTTGCCTAGGGTCACACAGTTAGTAAGTGTCTGAAGCCAGATTTGGACTCAGGAAGACACCCCTCCCCTCCATAAATTTCAGTGGCTCTCTATAACTTCCAGGATCAAATATAAAATTGTCTGTTTGGTGTTCAAAGCCATTCATAACCTGCCCTCCCGCTTTCCAGTCTTCTTACATTTTACACCACTCTCCACTCCTCCACCTGCCCCCATACTCCAAGATCCAGTGGTACTGACTTCCTTGCTTTTCCTCACACAAGACACTCCATCTCCCAATTCTGAGCATTGTCGCTGGCTATCCTCCATGCCTGGAATTCTCTCCCTCCTCATTTCTGCCTTTTGGCTTCTCTGGCTTCCTTCAAAGCCAGCTGGAAAATCAGACCTTCTATAGGAAGCTTTACCTGATCTCCCTTAATTTTAGTGCCTCCTCTCTATTGATTATCCCTGCTAGATCCTGTCTATATTTATATCTGAGGTACAGAGTTGTACCTCAATGTTTGCAGGTTGTCTCCCCCAACAGACTGAGCTCTTTGAGAGTAGAGACCATCTTTTGCCTTTCCTCGTATCCCCCAGCACTAGCATAGTGCATGGCACGTGGGAGGAGCTTAATAAATACTTATTGACCTAAATAAGTTAATTTCACTGACTAATTTTTACTGAAAATCTTAGAGTGTCAATCATACCTTTAAAGCTTATCTAATTCAAATTCCTCATTTTATCAATCAGGAAAATGAGATTCAAGGTAAGTGACTTGTCTAAGGTCACCTGGTAAACAAATGGTAAATTTAGCTCTTGAACCCAGGCCTCCCAACTCCTGTGGCAATGGTTTTATTCCTATGTCAAAAATGGAAAAGATTTAGCTAGATGAAGAGGAGGAGGGGGAGGAGAGAGTCCAAAGAGCAGAAACAATAGGCAAGTACATAGAAGTCAGGAATAGAGTGGGGGACATTAAAGAGATTTCCTTGTATCAATGATTGGCTTTGGAGAGTATTGAGATGAAAGATTAAATACTTGAATGAAGCCAGATTGTAGGGATCTTAAGGGACTGTCTTTGGATTCAATCTAGTAGGCAAAAGAGAGTCACTGTAGTTTATTGAGCAGAGCAATAACATGATGAAAGTGACATTTTTAGACAATTAGATTATCAATGGTATTAGGGATGGAGATGAGAGAACCTAGAAGGGAGGACAAATAGAAAATTACTGTAATAACATGGAAATAAGGTGATGAGCACATGGACCTGATTTGTGGGAAAATGATAAATGTGAGAAGGAAAATCTAAGAGGTGCTTTGATGAATTAATGAGATTTGGTGACAGCCTGGACAGAAGAGATGAAAGAAAGAAAAGGACCAAAGACCACAGGGTCACAGATTTGGAACTGAAAGAGACCTTAGAGGTCATCAAGTCTAGTTCTCTAATTTTACTAATGGAGAAACTGAGGCACAGGGAAGCTAAGGGAAACACTTGCCCAAAGTCACACAATGAAGGGGTGGCAGAGCTATGCTTTGAACATAGGTCCTCTAACTCCCGATCTGTTACTTTTTACATTTTGATATATTGCCTTCTAACATATGGGTTGAGTGAGGGCCCCAACATTGATATAAATATATACATATTATATATTATATATGTGTGTATGTATATATATATGTATACATACATATATATACTAGTAAAGTTTAATTTCTTTTTTGATAAAGAATAAATATACTATGCAAAGCACAGTGCTAGGCACCAGAGTTATAAAGACAAAACCAAAACATTCCCTTCATTCAAAACATTCCATTCATATCACTGGGATATACAGTGATGATTCAGGCCAGGAACAAAAATCCCTGCCCTTCTTTGCTTCCCAGAAATTAAGCAAAGGTAAAGGAAATCATATTGCTAGATTTCCTAATGGTGGTAAGAGTCCTGTAACATTAGAAATGTCCAGGATAAGACTCAAGTAGATACTAATCTATCTTTAGGGATAAGATTCCCATGTCACGCCTGCTTTCTGCCATTTTCCTCCTTTCCATCCTATCCTTTCTGTACTCACTGCTAGGACATGGTAGCTTGTTTAGAAGAGGTATTACTATGCAGAATATGGGATGTGATAGTGTCATTGCATTCTTCCATGGCGCAATGACATCTGGAATGCTGTAGACAGTTTCCAAAGGAAGGAGACTGAAGATGGTGTGAAGACTAGAAGCCATTCTATATATTTATTGGTTGAAGCAACTGGGAGTATTTAGCCTGGAGAAAAAAATAACTGGGGGCAGAGGGCATGATAAGTGGCTTCAAGTCACTTTGATATAGGATAGAGTTCTTTACTTAGGACCTCTAAACTTAAAAAAAGTTTTGATGACTGTATTTTAATATAATCAATTTCCTTAGAATCCTATCCATATTATTTCATGCATTTAAAAACATTCTGAGAAAGGCCTATGTGATTCATTCTTCACCAGACTTGAAAAGGTTTCCATATCTCTCTCTCTCTCTCTCTCACACACACACGCATGCATGTGTGCATTCAGCATTCCTGGTGTAGAGAAAAGAGCATTGGACTCGAAATCAGAGTACATGTGTTTTGAGTCCTCACCCCACCTCTTGATGTATGTATGTTCTTGGACAAATCATTTCACCTGTTGTAATTGCTTCTTTTCCTTACTCCCTTCTCCTTCACTCCCCCACCCTCAGCCCTACCACCTTTCTTTCTCCTTCCTTCTCTCATTTGTGGAATTGGAGGAGTGTCGGATGACTTCTGAGATATCTTCCAGCTACAAAAGAATATGGTCCTTGATATAGTTCAACAAATGGTTTTCACATGGAAGAGGGGCTACATTTGTTCTTATTGGCCCTGGGGGGCAGAACTAGAGAAAATGGATAGAAGCTTCAGAAACATATTTTGGCTTGATATAAAGAAAAAAAAAATCAAACAATTATAGCTGTCCAGAAGTGGAATTCATTGCCCTAGAAAGTAAAGAATTCTGTATCCCTAGAGGGTTTTTAGGCAGAGGCTGGATGGCCACTTGTAAGAAGATGGTGGTAGCAATTTCTATTTAGGTACCACTCGGAGTAGATGACCCTTCCAACTCTCTTGAATTCTGTGGATTGTGATAGTTTTTCCTTCCTTGGCCAAATCATCAACGTTTCGATCCTCTGAACTCTATCCAAAGGCTGCCCACAGTAGCAAATTTCTGAGGTTCAGGCAAAACAGAAGTGGTTTTCAAAGAGCTTAGGAAAGTGGTTATGCTCCTGAGGATCAGAAAAGAGGACCCAGCTTTAAGGTTCACAGGAAATAAATGGTTGTTGCGGTCTCTAAGAGCCAGGGCCTACCACTTGGGCTCAGCTTTGGAACTCAAATTTTCAGCAGGCAATTAATGGTCTCCAAGGTTCATAGGGACTTGCTGTTGTTGGGCTCCCCAAGTTCTGGTTCTATTGACAGCCTTGGTGGTGAGGAGTTGGAAGAGCTTTGTGGGTCTAAGACCCGGGCTTGGGGTGAATCATAACCAGCTCCGGCAGATTAGAAGATATGGAGACACATCTCTATGATTCAAGTGAAGCCAAAGAGAAAGATTTCTTCGATTTTTGAAGAACCCACAGGAGTGACCTTTGAGAGTTTGTGGGGGTGACAAGAGAGTTTTCTGAGGAAATAGAGAAACAGATTTTACTCCTCTAACTTCCACATTTCTTGAAGAGCTAGGCCATGAGAGAGATTTGATTTTTGATCAATTGAATCTGTTTGGCCTATAAACCTGCTTTTTGGTTTGTTTGTTATTTGTTTTGTTTTCCCAAAGCTCAAGTCAAGGGTTCCTATTGTTATTCCCTCCTGCTAATGTAGCAGCTTTAACTCTCTTTGGAGGGTGAAAGGATTATAGCATCACAGGGTGCATGATGACTTTGCTTCCCCATCGCCATTTTCCAGGACCTTCTCTGACTGGAAAGACTGGAGGTCTTATGGTAGTGTCTGTTTAATCCGTCCTTGTAGTGAGATATTATGGGTAGTGTGTGTAAGATATGGACAAGTGAGAAATAAGTTTGTCCTTTTTTTCCCATGCGCTCTAACGTTACTGAGCAATGTGGAGATAGCTCATTATTCATTTTAGGGCCTATAAATCCTGTAAATGTCTTATTTCATCTTTCTAAGCCATAGATTCCATATCTACAAAATGGGAATAATGTTCTACATGGAGCTATTGTGAGAAAAAGTACTTGGTATACCTTAATATACCATATCACCCCCTCTTTTTGCAAGTCTGTGATGGCCATTATTATGATACAGTACTCTATCCCTGATTCCCCTCCGCATGTACAGGGAGTTCTGGGACTTACAGGTAAGGGACCCCATCACAGTCAGAAACACACCCTACCAATCTCATACCAACCAGGTCTTGTCTTTGAAACTGCTACTCGTTATCAACCGATAAGCAATTATTAAGCTTCTGCTATGTCAGCCGTGGGGATATAAAGACAGATACACAGAATCAGTCCCTGCCTCGAGGAGCTTCATTTTATCAGACTTAGGTACGTATTTTCTACCATAGGCAATGATCAGAACATTGATTAGTCAGCTACTAACATGACTCCCACTGCCTCTCTATAAACACCCTCATATGAGCAACAATCAACAATTTGGTCTTAGGATTTTTTCCTTGAAATCAGCATTGCTTCCCGGACCATGCCCGTCTCCTCTTCCCCACTCACCATATATCTAGTGCACAAAGTGCATCTCTTTCTGTCTCATCCATGCTAGGGACTTAGTCACAGCTGTGCAGCCAGGAAGAAGGTAATAGTGACACTTGGCTAGAGGGAGTGTGCAGCTAGGAACTAAGGCTGTTTTGCACAACATATGGCTTCCCAACAAAGAGACTCCACCCTCCAGCTAGGCTTGCCTCCCCATTGTACCACAATGCAATCAATATTGTCACACAACACAGCAGTACAATACAAAACAAATACAATATAACAAATTTCCCCATGATCCAGCCATGCTTTTCATCATCTCCATCAATCAATCAACAAGTATTTATGAAGCATCTACTATATGCCATGCACTGGAGAGGGCACAGGAGACATTGAATGAACCAGAAGAATGAAACTTTACTGGCCCTTGAGGATCTTGTATTCTGACGGGGGTGGGGAGCGACATGAACACTAATAAGTACATTCAAACATGTGAAAAATAAACACAAGGAAATTATGGGTGGGTGCTGGCATCTGGGTGGATCAGGAAAGGATTCTAGTAGAAGGTAGAACTTGATGTGATCTGTGTTGGCAGAGGCATTTTCCATACTATGAATTCCCTATGCTGATTAAATCACATATTTGAGGCCTATTTGGTATCTAGCACAGACTCTGATACGTTGCTGGTGCCAAATATATGCTTGCTGAACGAATGAATGAATGAATGAAGCCAAAGCTCCACACTGCTCTGGAACCCCTGATCACATTTCTAATACTTGTCAATTAAAGGGGGAGGAAGAAATACATATTAAAATATCTAATAACAATTGGACAGTGGTGGGATTGTTGGACAACACTTCTGATCCAGGTTTCTGACTCATGAATGGATCTACTAATCATGTTATAGCTATTTTCAGTGCTTGATAAAGTTCCTGGCACATAATAGGTGCTTAATAAAATGTTTATTGGCCATCTCCATCAATAATAAGAAATTTGATTGTGGAAGAGATTTGACCTGATTTATTGTCATCATGTAGAAACAACCTCAAATAATTTCAATACCCATGCTGCTCTTGGTGAAAGGATTTATAGAACCAGCCCCATTTAAGAAGTTATGATTTTCTATATTAAAGGCTAGTTCATAGAGAGATACCAGCATTATTGCAAGGTATTTTTTCAGGAGAGCAATTATGTTGGATTCTACATTTCCCTTCTTTCATTCTGTCCACCATAGTCAAGAGCCCCACCATTGTAGAGCTTCCATCTGCAATAGAACCTACTTCATAGGATCATATCATTAGAAACCTTAGAGGTCCCATCTAATCCAACTACCTCATTTCACAGATATGGAAAGGAAGGTCCATTAATGTCAAAAGACTTGCTCAAATTCCCAAAGGTAGTAAGCCAAAAAGCTGTGGTTGAGTTTTCTGACTCAAGAACCAGAGCCCTTTCCATTGCATCTGGCAGCTAGGTGGTACAATGAATAGAGCACTGAGCTTGGAAGTCAGGGATACCTGAGTTCAAATCTTGTCTTAGATAGCTATGTGACCCGGGGCAATTCACTTATTTTCTGTCTGTCTCATTTTTTTCATCTGTAGAATGAGGACTAATAGTACCTACCTGTGGTGCTGTTATGCAGATCAAATGAGATAATATTTGTAAAGCACTTAGCAAAGTGCCTAGCATATAATTGGTGCTTAATAAATGACTATTTCTTTCTTTCCTTCCTTGCATCCATCCATCCTTCCATCCATATTTCCTTCCTTCCTTCCTTTCTTCCCTTCCTTCCCAGTTCCTTGAGCTGAATTTTGGAAGTATCACATCATATAACTACTGGTTATTAATAGTTTATCATTCTTTATTTTTCTCCATTATCAGATACTGGTTATGTTTACTATGTCAAGCAGTTAAATCAGATACTATTTTTTCATATTATATTGGCACAGGCAGTTATCCCCCACCACAAGATAAACATAAACCAATGATATTTAAGAGATATTCAATTAATACTTTATTAGGAGAATCTTACCTGAAACATAATCTCTTTGAGGCACACTGGGTGGTGCTTTATTTTTTAACCTGTGGACAACAATCATTAGATATATAATTAATCAGACAACTATTACTGGGGCCCATTATAAATGCTGATAAAAAATAAAAATATTCACACCTCAAGACAAGGGTTAGTCATGTATTTATAAGGCTAGTCACACCTTTATTTAGACAAGAAGTTTGTAATCTGGCATTCAAGGATAGATTTCAGGGGGCCTATGAATATTTTTAAAAATTGATAATTTTATTTTACCGTAACTAATTTCCTTGGTAAGCTGGAAGAAAAAAAGGCTAAAGGCTTCTAGACTATATAAGAAGCCTCATGTCAATATATCATTTATGAATTTTTATTGACATTTATTATTGTTATATCACCTTGATTTTTTAATGCATCCTTCCCTTCCCTTTTCCAAGCAAACCAATTTTTGTTAACAAAAGAATACAAAGAAAGAGGGGGAAAAAAAGCAGTTTGGCAAAAATAAACAACATATCAACCAAGTCTGACGGTGTATGAAACGTTCCATACCCAGAGTCTCCAACCTCTGCAAAGAAGGGAGCTAGATAAGTTTTCTCATCTCTTGTTTGGGTCAACCTTGGTCATTAGAATCACAAAGTATTTAATCAAAGGTTTATTTTTTTTTGTCCTTCCAGTTTACATTGCTTTTAGTCATTACTTATGTGTTTTCCTGGTTTTACTTACTTTACTATGTATCAGTTCATAGAAATCTTCCAATGCTTTTCTTTTCTTTGTATTCACTATTTCTGATGGTGTAATAATATTTCATTGCATTCATGAACCATAATTTGTTTATCCATTACTCACTTAATGGGGATTCACTTAGTTTATGTTCCTTTGCTAACGTAAAATGTTACTATGAATATTTGGGTGACTATGAGACCTTTCTGTTCCCAACTAGCTTGGGATCTCTGGGTCAAAGGCATGAAATATTCCATAACTTTTTTAAAAGCATGATTGCAAATTGCTTTCTACAATGACTGGATCCCTTCATAGCTCAACCAACAGTGTCTTCACATCCATTTATTTTCCAAGACCCTCCTACACTGAGTACTTCTATCTTTTGTCAGCTTTGCAAGTTTGCCAAGCATGAAGTGAACTCTCAGTTATATTTTGATGTGCATTTCTCTTATTTTAGTGATTTAGAGCAATATTTCAAATGACTATTAATAATTTTAATTTCTTCTGTGAACTCCTTAATATTCTTTGACCTTGGTCTTACTGTATTTGTATTAGTTCTCTATATAACTTGGATATCAGACTCTTATTGACAGCTTCCCTTCTTATTGGAGTTGTAGGTTTTATTTATGCAAAAGTTTTTCAAATTTGTGTAACTGAAATTATCTATTTTATCTTTTATGATCACCTCTGTCCTTTATTTGGTTAAGAATTTTTTTGGGGGCAATCGGGCTTAAGTGACTTGCCCAGGCTCACACAGCTAGTAAGTATCAAGTGTCTGAGGCTGGATTTGAACTCAGGTCCTCCTGATTCCAGGGCCAGTGCTCTATTCACTGCGCCACCTAGCTGCCCCTTTGGTTAAGAATTTACCTTAATCTCGTAGACACAGATGGCTATGAAAGATATCTGTCCTTATTGTCTTCTAATTTTTTCAGGGTATGACCTTGTAATATTATGATTTTCTTTTAGAAGAGAGTTGGAAGGTGTTGGACTTCACAAATAACACCACAAAATGATACTGATTATGTCTTAACAAATAAGAAATTAATTTTAGGGAATGAGTTTCCTCTTCAGAGGTTTTCAAGTGGAGGCTGGATTATCATTTGTTAGGTATGTCAAAGTGGAGATTCCTTAGACTAATGGTCACTGAGATCCCTTCCAACTTTCAAATTCCATGATTCTTTGACTGGTTAATTATGTGGGAACTTTTAAAAAATTAATCGTAAATGTAGTTGGGCCAATGATAAAAAGCAAGTCAAATTCAAAGAATAAAAATGATATAGCATACAATTAAGACCTTGCCTATTCAAACAAATTATTTATAATGGGAAATGGATAAATCGTCAATGACACAGAAATAGTATCATTTTCTAGGGAAGTTTCATTTTACAAATTAATCACCAAAAATGAGGAAATCCAGCAAGCCTAGAAATTGCACGTCAGCAAACACTCGATGTCTTTCCAAGAAGAGCAAGGTGCTATGTAAATAGAATCAGTTTAGAATATGAATCCATTTGTAAAATCTTACAGAGAGGGATGGTGAGAGCTTATATGCAGAGTCACTTCATGAAAAAATAAGAAACAGTGGAAGGACAAATAAGGGAAAAGCCATCATCAGCTGCTATCTGCAAGTATGCATCCTCTGTTCTTGCCTTCTTTCTACACACTGTGTAAAGAATCCTTTTTCTTTCCTTTAAAAAAATAACAACTGTGAAGACTGTCTCATTCCAAAGAAATTCCTTCCACTTCCCAACTTTTGTGGCTGAAACAGAGCAGCCCAGTAGTGATGTATTTTGTTTTGTTTTTTTTTTAAAGATGCCTTTCACCTATAACTAACCAAATGCTGCTCGTTTTTTGGCCCTGAAATCAATAAAACATATTAATTATTTTTAAAAATGCCAAGCCCTATCTGACTTTCTTGTTCTTCTCTATCACACAGTCAAAGATGGGAGTTACTTCCTCCTAAAAGCTCCTGTCATTTTTCATTCAAGCAACCAGTTCCTCCTTAGCGGGTAAAAATCAGATCCAAAATAGAAGTTCCCCTCATCGGTCCCTCCCTATTTTCAAGGATGACATTATCATCAGGAGAAATCAACAAACTGATTCTCTAACTGCTCTGCTAGAGAAGGAGCTATAGCAGATGTCTGGATAATTAAGGTCCCTCAACACTATACCATGCCCCTGTGCCAAACTTGACATCTTTTTTTCTGAACTTCCTATCTATTTCCTCTTTTGGTCCAGATAGTGCATAGTACACCTAGGGAACATATTATTTCTGTTTCTTTGGATCTTAGCCCAAATGCCTCCTGCCATGCATCCCCCTTCCTCACATGAAGATATTTTCTTAATGTACAATGTTATTTCACCCATCCCCCTTTTAACTTATTTCCTTACTTTTGAATAAAGTATACCCTTTCAGAGCCATATTTCAGGCATGAGTCTCATCTAATCAAGTGTCAATGATCAAAGAGATCAAATTTGCCTTCTTGTGTTAGAAGCTTTAATCTCCTTGGCTTTTTGCCCATATTTTGTGCCTTGTGTGTTGGCATCCAAGGCCAAGGGCTTCATTACTGGGGAGCCTTCACTCCTTCCTGCACATGCTCTTATTTTATAGGTTCCAGCTTTTTGGATATATGTTGACAGTCTTTCCTTTTTAGTAGAAGACTTGTGGACCAATAAAAAAAAAACATTGGGTTTGGAGTCAGAAGACCTGGGGTCAAGTCCTGGCTCTTTTACTTACAACATGTGTGACCCTGGACAAGTTATTTAACCATCCTAAGCCTGTTACCTCAGGTGAAAAATAAAGAGATCAGAATATATGGCTATATATACAGAAAAAATTCTGGCCACTGTGACAAAACAGGAATCTCTTTGTAATCTTTCTCAGAATGTCTCCTTCCTTTTGGGTTTGTATACTCTGTTCCAAGGCAATGTTCTAAGTGGTTGAAAGAGAACTTGAGATTGCAGCCCAGATAGTAGCTTTGTCTAGAACACCTATCTAAGTCCATCCCAAACCATCTAGGAACATTCAGGGAAGAAAGACAAGATTCTCCATTTCTGGTCATTTAGGAATGGGACGCTTTAAGGTTGTGGGGATAGGGAGTATGGTAAGCCAATTTCTCCTGGGTAGATGTTAGTTCAGAAGGCTACTTTCAGATTCTTGGGAGGCATCTAGTCTCTGTTGGGTAGAATCCTTTTACAGTAGATACACTTTCAATTTTCTGAATCTTATTGGTATATTCTCTTGTGAATAAACTCTAGAGAAAGCCTCCTTTTAGTCTGGAATGTGTGGGGTCAGAGGAGAAGGTAAAGGCAGAGGGCGGCATTAGAATTAGGCATTAAGATGTATTAGCAGCTTACAGCAGCAGAAAGGGAGCAAATGCCACACTGCTGATCCCAGGAATCCAAGAAGGTTCAGAGAGATCAGGATTCAAGGCTCCAGAAGATCAGGAAATGTATGTATCTGATTGGGGCTTAGAGCAAGGACAGACATATTCTAGTATTTCTACACCACTAAAGGGCAAAGGTTCTCTGGATCAGTTCCCAGAGGAAGCTGAGCCTCTGGGGTAGATAGTACAAGCTGCAAAGCCAAGGCCTTGCATGTCATCCTTCACAGAACTGGAGATATCCTAAGAATGACATTGAAGAACATTTCCTTTCACTTCAAAGACATTCCGCCACTATCTGTGCAGTCACTGCACACTCTACCACACAACCATTGCATTAACATCCAGTGAAATGGTGAGTCAATGCATTCTACCTTTGCATTCTCAAGAAAGATCCCCTCCCTCCATATATTTCAGAACATATTTGTCGACATGGGGGGGGGACCTCCTGGTATAGGAACTTCCTCTACCAACACATATCATCACAATCCCTTGACTTAGAATCATAGGGTTACATACTTAGAGCTACGAGGGACCTGAGTGATTATCTTGTCCTACCCCCTCCCATTTTACTTACTTACAGATGAAGAAAATGAGGTCCAGAGAAATTAAGCAACAGAAGTGAGATTTGAACCCAGATCTTCCGCCTCCAAGGCTAACATTCCATCTGCTATGTCCCAGCTGCCTCATTTTTTGAACATAGGACACAGTTCATTTGTATGTCAATGAGAGTTTTCACAGATCCTATGGTACTTCAAGCTCCCAATACTGTGCAAAACTCACTAACTAGAACCATGGCAAAGTTATTTTATGATCAAAACTCATAGTAAAATGTATCCAGTAAGCTCTCTGGCATTTCAGTCTCTTCCTCCTCTCCCTCTCATTAAAAAACAGAAACAAGCCCATGCATTTAATCTAAACCAACAAACCTTCTGTTTAGAGGTCCT